GTCATTTATTTATTGAGGGAAATGATCCAATAGTACATATTTGTGATAGTAAAAGTATGTGAACCTTTGCTTTCAGTACCTGGTGTGACCACTACTCCCACACACCGTGCAGTAATAACTGCAGCTAAACTTTTCCAGTAACTGTTGATCAGTTCTGCTCGACTTGGAGGAATTTTAATCCATTCCTCTGTACAGAACAACTTCAACTCTGGATGTTGGTGGTTTCATCGCATTAACTGCTGCTTCAGGTCCTTCCACAACATCTGGATTGGATTAAGGTCAGAACTTTGACTTGACCATTCCAAACATGAACTTTATTCTTCTTGAACCAAGCTTTGGTAGAACATCTTGTGTGTTGAGGGTCATTGTGTTGTTGCATGACTCACCTTCGCTTTAGATTCAGTTCATGGACAGATGTTTTGACATTTTTCTCTATAATTCTCTGATATAATTCAGAATTCATTGTTCATCAATGATGGCAAACCGTCCTGGCCCAGATGCAGCAAAACAGGCCCAAACCATGATGGCCAGTTTGATTCCTGGGCTGCAGGGCCAGTGCGCCGTTTTTTTACTTATTTTTTTAAGAACTTTTTATTAACAACATAAAAACACAGAACACCGCTACCGATGCGCCAGAGCCGCCCCGCCTCCACCCAGGGCTGGCGGCAGCTCTTGTTTTCTTATTTTTTCATGAGTTGGATCTTCAACGCCACCTGTCAATCAATCCAGTAGGCGTGTCAGCAAATGACTAAACAGGAAGTACCACATGTTTGTCTGTAAGAAGGTAACTGCAGGTAAATTCTCCATTCCTGTCATAATTACATTGTATGCTTAATGGTTAAATTAAAGGTTAAAGCAAGTTGTGATTTGTTTTGTGTTTTATATGTAGATATTGTAACTTCTGGCAGCATAATTTTAGTCTTTGTTAAAACTAAAGTGATTTTGTAAAAAGTGTTTAATAGGCAGTGTAATGCAAAGTTTACACTCACATACTGAATTTCACTGTGAGGTCTTGTCCTATGACGCTCTGCGGAAAGAAAACATCTACTGCAGTAACTATTTTAAGTTATTAATAGCTTAGAATTTATTATTATTATTTTACCTGTCTTCTTTGCTTTAATGTTAGCTGATAAGGCAGAAATGTGTCACAAAATGCCTCAAGTAACACTGTGAGCTTCACTACTTCCACCATTACAGCTATCTTTATCTAAGTTTAGCTTTGTTAGTTTGTCCAAGGTTAGCCCATCCTGGGTTAAATTTCCTCGTATGCGGAGCGATTATACCATTCATGTAAAATATTTGATAATGTTTTTATAGGAACAACTCCTGAATGTTCATACTGTGTTAATGTATAATATTAGTGCAATGTTACAGTAGACCTAGCCCACTACTGGAGTTTTAATTAGGTATTTTAAGCTACTAATAAACATGATGGATGATGATCATATTGATTTATGCTATAGGCCACTGGTAAGAAGGAGTGATTATTTGCTTGCTATTAGTTGCTGCTGATCTGTTTCATGTTGATGTGTTCATTCATACTCATCTGCTCACACAGACTCATGTTCGTGCTGCTGTTTGGCATATTGTTTTTAATGCTACTAATGCTTAGTGTGTTTTTAGTTTATGTTTTTCTTAGTGCATATCTTAGATCTTATTACTGTTTTTCTTTTACATTTTAATAATTTTGTTGGATCTAACTGGGACTCTGTGCACACAATTTTGTTCCACCACATGTACCACATGTGGTGCGAATGACAAATAAAGAACCTTGAATCCTTGAATTATTATTATATTTTCATATTGGCTAGTGATTTTTTTCCTGAAACTTAACTTAGGCTACACTACAGTATGTTTCTTAGACTGTGACTAGGATGCGTAAGAGAAGCAGTGCATGCTCTATGCACACAAGGAGAGCTGTTGGTCAGGTTTCTTCTTGTTGTGCCATTAACTCTAAAATAGTTATTGAATCAAGTGTTACTTATGTAGGTAAAACTAAATGTTAAACAACCCATTAATATACACCAGAATACAGGAAATGGCATCTACTTTATTAAAAAATTTCTGGGGGAGGACACACATTATAGGGATTTATTTAAAGACAAGCCTGCATAGACAGACGTTTGGTGCTTTTTATGTTGTGTATTTGTTATTACTTTGTTTTTATTAAGTTATTTTGTAGATTTTGTTCATTTTAGGCTTGCTAGACACCAAATCTGAATTTACATTTCATATAAATTAAATAAACAATTGAGTTATTATTCTTTAATTCTCTGATATTAATTTGACAATATTTGCAAATACTTATGACAAATTAACAGTCACCCTGGAAACAGATGGAGCAAATTAAAACGTAAAAATGCTTTTTACATACCCTTAACATAACCAAATGATTACATCGTCTAAAAAAACTCTCAACCACTAATTAGGAGATGTACAAAAATAGGCATCAGGATGACAATAAAACAGAACACAATGATATTTAATTATTTTCAGCTCATTTTTCTCCTGCATTCATAAGGAATGGCTTTAAATACATTGGAAGTTTTAAACCATCAAAAAACAGGGTTGAGTTTGTTTATTTAGTGGCTTTTCAGATATTTATGCTACAGATTTGATATATTTGCTCCAACTATTTAAAGTTTAGTTGTTAATGTGCAGCTCTGTGTGTATTTCCAGCACTTTGAGCTGCATCGGTCTCTGTAGTTTCACGAACACGGAGCTACGAACGAGAAGACGTCAGCCAACGAACATGAGCCAAGTCCAAAACTGTCCTGGGGGATTCTCTACACAGAGCAAGAGTTAAAATCACAAGCCGGATCTATTTACACCAACTGGTGATATTAAAAAGATAGTTCGTCCATTTTGAAGTGGAGTTTTGTGAAAGTTAAGAGCAACTAATATCTTACCTGTCGTAGATACGTTTTTGAATGGTCTAACATTGTGTAAAAATGTGCACTGAGAAAACCAAGAGGAGTTTTGCTGCAAATCAACCAACGGAAATCTTCAATTCTTTACAAATGCAACTAGCAACAGCGGTAGCACTTCCTGTAGTGACACAATGTTTCTGCTGGAACAAACCAAGTGAAATGTTGAATATGAAACTGAAGAGTGAAGCTGCTTTAAGAAACAGCGATCATTGGTCTTGGTGGTGTTTGGACAACTCGTGCACTCAGAGGGGATTAACAGGAAGTCCTACAGCAGAGGTTAGGATTTGATGAGGACTGTAAGATTGTTCAGAACAGAAGACTGTTAGCTACGATTGTTTTGAAAGTTTAGGCAGCTCAGTCTCCAAAAGTCCTCAGCAGTAATAAAAACTGTTAAAGATAACAAGCGGTGTGCCAATGTCCTCAGCTGCTGCGGGATTTGAATAGTGAATGTTTGCAATTTTTGAATAAAGGTGTTATTTAGTTATTTTTATTATCTATTTATTTTGGTTATCCAAGGCAGTGCAGAGTGACAGATTCTGGTGAGCGATGGGAGAAATTTTTTCCACTACTAGGTGCACTGGCAGAGGGTGGCCAATGGTGGCCTTGACCACCATAGATTAATCTCCGGCCACCTCAAGTGCCACCCCAATCATTTGAGGAAACTATACTTAGTTGAAGCCACACTCCAAAATTGAAGTTGGCACGTTGCTTATGTTTCAAATGATTCAGCTCCCCAGGTTTACACATGGCAGCAGCCATCTTGGATTTCAACATGGCAACCGAACTTTTGAAAGGAACTTTTCTTACTTCAATCAAAATCGAATCACTATTTCTAACAATTTTTCTTTTGTGAGAGGAGCAAAGAATGAAACATTATGAGAAAAATAGAAGAATAATATCCACACGATGCTTCAGTTTATTGTATTTGCTTTTAGGCGTCCTTCCAAAAAACAAAATATATAAAAAGAGATGTCCTATGTTGTTTGGCATCATACAATGTTTTTCAATGAATTCTTCTGTAATATAGAGCCAAATCAACATCTGCGCATTAGTAAAAATTAAATATTCATTCATACAGTGTATAATTGATAAATTGTATAACTCCAACTTGGAGCACTTCATGGTTTATTTTGTCCTCTGTAGAATCAGGAGGTAATCTTTATGTAGTATTCAGTTTTCTTTCAAGTATTGGTCAAGTATAAAAACACAACAAAAGCATTTTCGAATTAAAGAAGTTTTTAAATGAATGTTTTGAACAAATATGTTCTGTGTAATGCTCACAGGAGATGTTGGGGATGACCCTCATCTACTACCAATTTCTTGGCTCAATGTCTCTAGAATCAACTGCGTTTGTTAAGGTTGACCAGCTGTGGCGGCCATCTTTATTTGGATTTATTTCAGAATCTAATCATTTGTAGAACTACATCTAATCTAACAATTACTGTATGTTTCATTCAAATCTGTCCACTTGATTATGAGATATTTTGCTAACAGACAGACAGTGCGGACTCCAGCAGTTAATGGCAACGTATTAAGCACAGATCTTGTTCAATGAGAAGCGCTCAGAGTATTTGTTGGGAGAGACTCTCAGCTACCACCACAACAAACATTAGTTCAATCTGTGTGAAACTGAGTCTTAGGCATGAATGGGTCCTGTAGGGTCGGCTAGCTGTGGCAGCCATCTTAGAATGTCTTGAGTCCAAAAGGTAAACGGTTGTAGAAGAACAGCCAAGAAATACTTTCTGAAAGTTTCACTAAAATCCGTTCACTGGTTGTTAAGATATTTTGCTAACAGACAGGGGTCATCATTGTCGCCCAATGGGCAGACAGGACCGGAGATGTGTGTGTTGGTACAGCGTGAGCAGAGGTGTGCGTGAGAGAGAGGGAGGAGTGTCTCAGTATGAGAGCGCGCGGCTCCGGAGCGGCAGATGTGACGCGCGCACTGTCCGAGCCACAGCGCGTAATTAGCGGCGGTCGGACATATTAACCGGATTATGTGGGTCTGGGGAGGAGAAGTGTCCTGAATCCGGTGTGACGCTGGATTAAGGCTCCGTCCTCGGCACCACGGCCATGGACCGGCGGCGGAGAGCCCCCCTGGCTCTCACCTTGAACTTCCTCGCGCTCCTCCTGGCGGTGTCGGCGCTCACCACCAGCTACTGGTGCGAGGGCACGCGCAAAGTGGTGAAGCCGCTGTGCGCCGGCCCGGTGAGCACCAAGCAGTCCTTCTGCATCACGTTCAACAGCTCCAACGTGAACGACACGCGCCTCGTGCAGTACATCTGGGAGACCGGCGAGGACAAGTACGTGATGAGGAAGTTCCACACCGGCATCTGGTTCTCCTGCGAGCAGAACATCAACATGAGCGGTGAGTTCGTGCGCGCGCGCAGAGGTGCGTCACGGAGGCAGACGGGCACGTCGGTCCGATAACCTCTGGATAAAACAATGGCCAGCGTGTAGTTGTGTTTTAAATCTGCAGCAACACCGACTGGATTTACAGCTTAATCCCTGTCAATCTGCTGCTGCACTTTCTGTCTTCATCCAGGTTTAGCTTCTGTCTTCCACAAAATTACTTTTTAACGTGCCAAAAATTAATGAAAGAGTGAAAAAGTCAGCATCAACTGGTGGCCAGTTGGCCACTTCCGGTCCGTGGGTGGAGTGGGTGACCTCAGATTGGTTCAAGTTTTACATCTGAAGATTTTAGAGTGTGACACTCAGGGGCGGTCCTAGCCTGTTTGGTGCCGTGGGTGAACAACGCCTCTGGCGCCCCCATCGAGCCCCGAGCCTGCATCACCCATCTCCACCCCCTGGAGCGCAGACACGCTCAGACTGTCTTTGAACGTTTCATTCAAAACACTTGAAATTGAAGAAACTAGAAAAATACCATAAACACACAAAGGAAGAGACAGAAATACTGTACACCATGAATTTAAAACTATACAATACAAATACAAAAAAATCAATAGAAAATAAATACAGATAAAATAAGCCATTTCTGAATTGCACCAATAGAACGTGAGAAAATCTGTACAACAAAAGACACAAGTTTCTCTGCAGAACTGTCAAAGAAGGTCTGAACCTTTCCTGAATAAGACAGTTTACACTATTACACTTGAAGAAACACAAATTAAACTATATATAGGGGCAGCACGGTGGCACAACTGGCAGAGCTGCTGCCTCTCAGCAAGCAGGTCCTTGGTTCAAACCCCGGTCCAGGGGCCCTCTGGGTGGAGTTTGCATGTTCTCTCCGTGCATGCGTAGGTTTTCTCCGGGTGCTCCAGTTTCCTCCCACAGACCAAAAATCTGCATGTTAGGCTGATTGGTAACTCTAAATTGTCCCTAGGTGTGAGTGAGAGAGTGAATGGATGTTTGTCTCGTTTGTCTCTATGTGTCCCTGTGATGGACTGTCCATCACAGTGATGGACAGTCCAGGGTCTACCCTGGTTTAATTGGTCTATTATTAATTAGGTTTAATTAATGAAACATTCAGAATGGGAGATAAATTAACACCTCTTCCATCCATTATCTTTTACCCTCTTCTTCCTTTTTGGGTCGTGGGGGTCACTGGTGCCCATGTCCATCAATCACTGTGCAAGAGGCGGAGTCAAGACTGGATTAACCATATGGGCAACTGGGTAAGTGCCCAGGGGCCCACGATCTCTAAGGGGCCCAGGGCAGTGAGGGCACAAGCAAATATCTGGTTATCTCCTGCTTTACTTGGAGCCCTGCGCTGCACAGAGAGACTGCGGCTGCGCTTCCGCTGCATTTGTGCCGCCCCGCCTCCTCCCAGCGCGGCTGTTACGGCTCTCGTGTTTGTTTGATTTTTCGATCCTCCATGGTGCTACATGTCAATCAATCCAGTAGGTGTGTCGGCAACTGACCAATCGACGACCGCAATTTCTCCCGAAGGTAAACGCCCTTTACCTGCTGACAAGCCCGTCACGTTTTTTTTTTTCTAGAACTTTATTAACAACACAAAATAATGAAACAATGCAACAATATACAAACACAAACTCGTGAAGGCTGTCATAACTACATTTCACAAAATAATGAAAGAGAAAAAAAATAAACATAAAAAATTAAATAAATAAAAAACATAAGAGTGCGACTAAATGAAAAACTTGTTTTAATTAAAACAATAAGTTTGTATCTGTTGTGAGATGATTTTAGCAGTTTAGCAGATTTTTAATCTACTTTATGAAGAATAGTATGATTTAAAATCGTTCATAAAACAGGAAGAAGGGCTTATTATCTCTCCTCTTACTACAGTGAATGTGGTACTTTGCTATAAGTATGACTATATTTATGGCATCAGAGAAAGCTGAGCTTAAGTTATCCACATAAAATAAAATGTTATCAGCATGAAAAGAAGGAATGTTAAGTTTGAGATTAATCCAGTTTCTGATGTTTGACCAAACACTTTGTATTGACATGAAAAAAAAATTGCTTGAGGGATTCATCTTCTGATTTACAAAAGACACGCAAATCAACCTCAAATTTAAATATTCTTTGCAGAAACATGGCTACAGGATATATCTTATTTATTATTTTTAAATGATTCTCCTTCACTTTAGGAGATTTAGGCCATTTGACAAATTTAGAATGAGCAGAAATCATTCTGGTTTTATGATTTATACTGGGAGGTTTCTTGAAGAAATCTTTGTTATAATCAGTAAATCCTTCGTTGCATTCATTCATTGATAATCTTATTTAATTTGAAGTCAACTACAGTCATTTAGTTTTAATGTGGGCATCAAATTGTCACCTTTGAATTTATAATATTTTTAATTATTGAATCAGCTGTTGGTCAGGCTACTTCTTGTTGTGCTATTAGCTCTAAAATAGTTATTGAATCAAGTGTTTACTTATGTAAGTGAAACTAGATGTTTAACAACCGTTAAAATACACAAGAACGCAGGAAATGGCATCTACTTTATTGAAAATTTTATGGGGGAGGACCCCCCCTCCCCCCAATAAGTTTGTCCCCACCTCCACCCACATTACAAATGCTTCTGACACCAGTGGCCAACAGGTTGCTAAACAAGTGCACGTGGTGTCATACAGTGTTAGTGCGTTCAACTCAACTCAGTCTTGATTATTTGTGGCAACGAGAGAACATAGTAGCATTTATAGTTCTATGAGCATTTGGATTTTTATACATAAAAATACACTTGATCGTTAGAATTTGAAGTATATTTACTGTATATTATGATAATTTATTCTGTATTTTGCCAGATTATGGTGATTCTGGGGTCGTGATGATGGGGCCCTTGAAGATTGTTGCCCAGGGTACAGCGAAGTGTTAATCTGGCCCTGGGTGGGGTACACCCTGGACTGGTTGCAATTCAATTCACTTCAGTTTATTTATATAGTGCCAAATTACAACAAAGTTGCCTCAGGGCACTTTACAGGAACATTCACATACATAGAAAAAACAATTAGTAAAGTTCTCTATCTAAAGAAGCAGCAGACTCATTGAATCTTCACTTCATCACAATCTACCATCCTGAGCAAGCACAAAGGAGACAGTGGAAAGGAAAAACTCCTTTTAACAGGAAGAAACCTCCAACAGAACCAGGCTCAGGACAAGCGTCTGGCTGACCAGCTGGTTGAGAGGACAGGAAGGAGAGACAGATGAACACAGAATGGTCGTTCCAGGTGAACCTGAAAGACAAAAACATGTTAAGGATAGAAAAAATAATTACAAATACAAAACAGGTTGAGCAGAGTAAGTAAAGACAGTAGCAGAGTGAAAAGTGTGATCAGTTTGTCCTCCAGCAGTCTAAGCTTATAGCAACTAAGGGACAGCTCAGGAAACCCAAGCCATCCCTAACTATAGGATTTATCAAAAAGGAAAGTCTTAAAACTGGACAATGTGTCAGCCTCACAAGAGAGGAGCCTGATAACTGAAAGATCTTCCTCCCATTCTGCTTTTGGAAACTCTAGGAACCACAAGTAAACCTGCAGCCTGAGAGCGAAGTGCTCTGTTAGGAAAATATGGAACAATAAGATCTGCAATATAAGATGGAGCTAGGTTGTTGAGAGCTTTGTAGGTTAGAAGTAAAATTTTAATTCTATTCTGGATTTGACGGGGAGCCGATGGAGAGAAGCTAAAACTGGAGAGACACAATCTCTTTTATCAACTCTCATTAAAACTCTGGCAGCAGCATTTTGGATCAGCTGAAGACGTTTTAATGAAGTTTGTACGATTTCACACAAACAAGTTGTGAACCATTGGCTATATTCACATATTATAAATTAAATGTGCTTAGTTTGGGATCAATCAATGTGTGATTTACTTAGTGAACTAAATGCATTAGATGCATCCCTGTCCCAGCAATGCAGACGAGAGAACTGATGTGTGTGCTAGACAGGCTATATGAAATAATAGTTTTGTTTGTTTGTTTGTTTGTTTGTTTGCTTGTTTGTTTGTTTGCTTTATTGGAGGGGGTGGGTTAGTATTGTTGCCAGGTGCTCGTTCTGCCTTTTGAGAAATGCTGCCCTGGGCAGCTGCATATATTACCCATATCAGAAACACGTTTCCTACTGTGGCTATGAGCAACAAGTTTATTTTCCTGTTTCAAACAAATATATTCCACCAATATGTAGACTAAATTTATACAGTATTAACCCCCCCACAACCACCACACACACACACACACACACACACACACACACACACACACACATACACACACACACACACACATATATATGTCCAGCCAATCAGGATCATATTGCGCATATCTCTCTCTCTATCTCTCTCTCCCTCTCTCTCTCTCTCGTTATTTGATTTTAAGAAAATTGTCTTCACTAATTCACTGGTTCCAGATGACCTGACTGAACATTGTTGGATTGTATACCTGGATTATTGAGCATGGACTTTGGGGTTTTGAACCAGTTTGACATGACTGTCGACGAGGGAGAGGGCGGGCACCAGAGACCATCTTAGCACCAATGTAACTGTTTTGTCCCATTTTGGAGTAAGCTGTTGGGAGAGAAACAGTTTTGTTTGGTATTTCCTCAGACTGATGAAACCTTCTGGATGGAGGGCAAAACATGTAAGCACAAAAATAAAAGAAACCGTCCAGATGACCTGACTGAACATTGTTGTATTAATATGATTTAAATATATATATATATATGTGTGTGTGTGTTTGCGTGCGTGCGTGCGTGTGTGTAAAATTTAAAAAATTGACCTTGACTTGATGCAAAACCAAAATAATGACACAAGTCATTAACGTGTGTGATGTGTGTAAAAATAAGAAAAAAAGCATCACTATTAGCTTTCTCAGCTAACTGAATGCTGATGTGACTAAATTATATTTAAAACATAAATTAACATTCACGGCAATTCAAAGTTCAACACTTATGACCCACTTGGCTTGCCGTACATGCACTTGTTGCACTGTTGCAGATCTCCAGGAACATTTCTACACAGCTGCTATAAATCTAGAGAATTTAGTTTGTTAGATTTTGTTCTTTCGCAGAATTCTGAGATCCGTTTTATTCACAGGGGTCCCAATCTTCCATATAAAACAAAAAGGCACCTCTTCAGGCTCCATCCTGTCTGAACATCTTTGCTTCATTTGGACGATGAGTGCTTTTAGATATTATCTTCCTTTTGTTGTTGTGGCATGGAGAAAAATAGAGTTAAAAACATGCACCTGCTTCTAGATGAGAGCGGTGATCACATGGGATTAAAACACTGTGTAGCTGTCTCATGTATTCATACTAATTATATATAAAACCTTGTTTTTTTTCTACATCAAACACCAGCCCCTCCAGAGACTACTTGTAAAAAAATTGGGGCCTTTAAGCAAATTTGCTGGTGACTCCCACAATAAAACTATATATAAATATTCTCAGCCTAAAACAATAAAAACAGCATAAAGTGGTCACATGTGGATTTTAAAGACAAGGTTAGCAATGATCCTGGTTGGAAGATTTCCTCCATCCCTCAGCTGTAGTTCTGTGCAGCAGCAGAGTGTTGCCCTTCAAAATAAAAGCATCCGTTGCTGATAGTAAAATGTGCTCAGAGCGATGCCTCAGGAGACTCTGCTGACTGACAGAAGACCTCCTCAGACTGGAGAAACTCTAGTTTCAGTAAGAAGGACTGCATGAAGTCTGTTTGTCTTCATTTGGCAGGGACCACAAAGAGTCGTTAAAATATCTCATTTACATCCTTTTGTCTTTACAGGGGAAAAGTGCAGAAGTTTCATCTACGTGGCTCCAGCAAACGAAAGAGGTAAAACTTCACCATCTGTTTAAATGTTGCTCTGGTTGAACTCTTGTTTAGAGACACAGTAAAGGATTTAAACTTGAGTTTAGTTCATGAGCATCTTGTTCAGTTTTATCTACGCGAGGTGTCCTCGAGGCTCTTTGAGCACCAGGACCACAGTGGCGTCTCTAAAAGTGAAATAATGGGGGCACCATGTAGGCACCACCACCATCCAGGGGTGGCACCAACACTCAAAAAGCAGACGTTCAGAAATTTTCTTTTCTTTTTCTTGTAAAATGATGATTGAAACCTTGGTCAATATGAGAATTATAGTTGAGAAGTGGTGCAGCTCAGTTTATTTTACAACAAATTTGACTGATTCTACGATGAGCAGAGACCAGAACGATAACCAGTTTAACCAGTTTTAACGTGTTCTCCATTTTTACAAACGCATGTAACGTCATAAACTGTCCTTACGTTGTGCTTTTTATCATTTACACTAAAAAAGTCCAAAGTACTGTTTTAATATGGACATTGAACAAAACATTTACAAAAAACAAACTACTTTTTCAAGTTTAAAGACATTTCTAATTATTTTGTTTTAATGTTTTTATTTTCAGACTTCTCTCTGTGTATTTTTTGTGTGTTTTTTTTGTTAGTTTTAGAACAAAACAGGGATTTTATAAATGTCTAAAACTGGGAATTAAAAGACACAAAAGGTGCATTTGTATTAACCTCTGAGACCCTGTATCATAATTTTAAATCTTAATCAGAGACTAAGTTTTATTTGTCTCTTTTTAAATAAGATGCATATTTATCTTTAAATCCCTAATTGCTCAAAAATAATGTTTGTTTTTAAGTTGATCAGATTCTACTAATCCTAAATATCAAGAGAGGGTGGACGGTGGTGCAGCTGGTAGAGCTGCCGACCCTCAGCAAGAATGTCACCGGTTCAAATCCTGGCCCAGGACCCTTCTTGGTGGATCCAACAATTTTTCAGTCAGGTCATCTAGACAGTTTCTTTTCTTGTGCTGAAACGTTTCACCTTCCATCCAGAAGGCTTCATCAGTCAAGGAAACACACAACACAAAACTGATTCTTCCCCCAACAGCTTACTCCAAAGTGGAACAAACAAGTTATGTTGGTGCTTCTTAGCGGAGTTTGCATGTTCTCTCCATGCTATGTGGGTTTTCTCCGGGTACTCTAGTTTCCTCCCACAGACCAAAAACATGCATGTTAGACTGATTGATAACTCTAAATTGTCCCTAGGTGAGAGAGAGAGAGAAAGAGAGAGAGTGAATGGTTGTTTGTCTCGTTTGTCTCCATGTGTCCCTGTAATGGACTGGAGACTAGGGGATGAACAACTACATAGTTTTTAAACTCGACATTAACATAATAAAACTCGAGTAGAACTCAAGTACTTGATGACGTCATAGGATCTCAAGATGCAAAAACAAATAAATAAATAAAACAAAACAAAAAAAAACAAAAACAGACCAACAAAACATTGGGAGAGTATATTATGCTCCTACCATTTATCATACTGCAGATAAGTCATAGGAAAAACTAAACTATTAGTTTTTATTATTAAACTGCAAAAGTTAAAGAAACATGCGGAACGTCAAAAACGAAACTAAAAACAGTGGGGGGGTCGACCACCCCGCACCACCGCCAGCTGTGGTGCACATTAGGTTTAGTTTTAGAGATTAATATGGTTATAGGTTTTTATAGGTTTAGAGATTAATATTTTTTACTTTTTGTTTGTGAAACAAGAGGAAGCTGGTTCTGGTTCGGTCATTGGACCCGGTGTTACACCATATTCTGTGACCTGCAACAGTGCATGCAACACCGCCCCCTACGGTCACAATATACAATGTTCACAGAATATGGTGTAACACCGGTTCACAACGAGATCCAGACAGTCAGGAAGTTGATTCATTTTCTGTTTCGTTACGGTAGATGAACCTGAAGATTCATCTTTAGTGAAATATTTCCAGACTATTGATGCATTTCTACCTGTTTGTCAAGACTGGACCTGCTCCGCTCAGCATCTGCTGGGAGGAATCCATTTTGTAACCTGCGCCCGGTGCGGATCACGTAACACGTGACGCAATGACGTAACGGCGACGTGATGATGTCACCATGAATACTCGACGTGAAATTTAAAAACTCGATAGATGTTCTAGGAATTGATGTGTAGATTACTCGAGTAGTCTGGTAAAGCTCTACTGGAGACCTGTCCAGGGTGTGTCCCCCGCCTCTCGCACAGTGATAACTGGACATGGACATGGACACCAGTGACCCCCGTGACCCGAAAAAGAAGAATTGGTTAAAGATAATGGATGGATGGATAAATATCAAGGGGGATATTAAAAATACACAGTTTTATAGGGGTTGCCCTCCTTGGTGGCCCCTCTGATGGCCCCCCTGCAGGACCATCAGAAAACAGCAGAGACTGAAGTGGTGGTTTCCAAAAGATGTTTATTTATTTATTTATTTTTAAATGTTTATTGTCCCTTTGGTCTACACTTCCTGTCTATCAGGAAGTGTAGAACAGCTGAGGCAGACTTCTGTACTTCTGTACATGAGGGTTTTTTTGGTTGTTGTTCCAGTGTTCTCAGGTCTTACTGGTCCCTTTGGCCCTGCTGCTTTTCTAAACTCTGCCTCTTGGTTTATCCCCACTGTTAATTAGACTAAATTGCATTACGCTTCACCTTAATTTAGTTTTTTATTCTTTGTTTGTCAGTAGAGACTGTTATCACTGAGGCGTCCAGCAATGCAAGCGTTACCTCTAATTCCAGCACGATCCAGCTGAGAATCAGCAGAACTTTATTGGGTCGTGGATCGTTCACGGTACAGGAGACAAAAACAAAAAACTGTCCTGCAGTGCAAATAATTTAGGAATTGTCCAACCTCTGCGTTAATGAGGTCAGAAATTACAGTCAGCAGCAAAAGCTGTCAAATCTTAGCTCAAGAGTTAAAAACAAACAGATTTCATTATTTCATTGTTTATTATAAAATGTTTATCATAAATGTAAAACTGAGTCCCCCTCATGATTTGGTAACTTCTTATAAATTGCAGTAACTCTCAGTAGTAGTTTTCTGTGGGACTTCATCAGTCTCTCGTGGTTGTGGAGGAATGTTGGCCCACTCTTCTTTACAGCTCGGTTCTGTTAATGTACCACCACACCATTCACATCAAGCTGAGGTCTGGGCTGTCTCCAGATGTTCTGTTGATGAGCTGCTGTGTTCAGGATCATTGTTCTGCTTCATGACCTGGTTTGGTCCAAACCTCAGCTCTCACACAGATGGTCTCACATTGTCTCTAGAAACATCTGGCCTTCAGAAAAGTTCCTGATCAACTTAAAAACTGTCTGGGAGTCCAGATCTTGTGTCTGCAAAGAAGCCCACAGCATCACCCCTCCTCCACCGTGCTGACAGTGGGTGTGAGGTATTGAAGTACACAAGGCTCTGTAAGCATCTGTTCTTCTGTCTGAAGGACATTGTTCCCGAAGCCTTGAGGTTCATTCAGATGAAACTTTGCAAACATGTTGCCATGTCCTTTTTAAAGATGAGTCTTTCTGCTGCAACCCTTCTACATACGTCATACCTGTCTAGTGGTCCTGTTATGACCTTTGACCTTGAGGTTTGGATAATCTGAGCTGGCCTGAGTTTGTTCGACCATCCACTCCTGGGAGAGTTGACAGCTGTCTTCAAGGTTCTCTGTGTAGAATGTTGGACTCCAACAGGTTTGAAATTACCTTTAACCTTCTCACATTGATGGGAGGTAACAGTTTATTTTCTATGCTTAATGCAAATGTCTTTCCGTCTTGGCATTGTGTTAACACACACCTGTCTGCTTCAGAGCAGCAAGCTGACAAAACTCCTGCTGTAGGTAAAGGTTGTAAGCTCAATCATCCAGGTAGATAACAACAAAAAGGTTAAATCGTGTCGTCCGGACCAGTTTCTTTAAGGGAGAAACGTTTCATCTTCCATCCGGAAGACTTCTTCAGTCTGCGGCCTGCCAACCAGCTCTGTCCCATAAGTAGCCTTCATTGCTGTGTTTCAAGCCAACCTCCTGTTGGAATCTCAGAAGTAGACTTTTACTTAACATGCGTACAAGTAGGATGACATGATTGACCCTTTTTTGTTGTTTTCTATCTGGATGATTGAGCTACATCCTTTTTTCTGAACCACTTTGGCCTTGGTTGTCCTCAGGCTGTTTCTGTGAGCAGCAAGTTGGCCATCTACCTAAAGCATTTGATTGTTGTACATGATGGTTCATTGTTTTGGATGGGTGTGTTTTGCACGTGTTAAAATCTACTTCTGAGATTCCAACAGGAGGTTGTTTAAAACACAGCAGTGAAGGCTACTTATGGGACAAATCTGGTTGGCAGGCTACAGACTGAGGAAGTCCTCTGGATGTGAGACAAAACGTTTTTCACCTAAAGAAACTGGTCCAGATGACAAGATTTAACCTTTTTTGTTTCTGCTCTAGAGATGTTCACACTGACAAGAGTAATCAATATATTCGATCAACATCATAAATATTATTGTTTTAAATCTTGTGAAAGCAAAGCAAGTGGGCTTAGCTTTATTTATTTATTTATTTTCACAACTTTTTCCTTTTGGATTTGTTTATGTTGATTAAATAATGACACTGTGAAATGTGTTGTGTTTTTTTTTCACTTGTTATTAGTTTTAAAACATTTTCAAAACTGGTAAAAAACCTAATTATATTATTATCCTGATATGTAAAACACTAGAAGTGAAATAGGATGAACATTATTTTGTTTATAATTGCATTTGTTCTGGTTTACATGAACAATTCACAAATTCTTATCTCTTTGTGTGCGTTGCTTTGTATTGAGTATTACGTATATCTGAAAATAAGGTGTAGTAGAGTGATGTATGAATGTTAACAGGTCTCTCTTGTAAATGAGTCCTCGAGGCTCAATGGGACCTAACCTGTATAAATAAAGGTTGAATGAAAAATACATAAATAAATAACATTACAGCTGACATCCAGACAATGACTTTGTGGGAATGTCATGTATTCATTCATTCATTCGTTCATTCATTCGTTCATTCATTCATTCGTTCATTCATTATGCGCGTTAAACATCAGTAAATATATTTATAACAACATGAGCCTAAACAATTTAACTGATAGAGACATAAAAATATTTGGCCTTAAAGGAACATTTTGTCTTTTTGGAAGTTGATTGCATTGAGTGCTTCTATGTAATCACTATCTTACCTGCAGAGCAGAAACATCAGAAGTGCAATTTTCGACACAACACAAACTCAAAACTTTGATTAAAGTTCTCTGTTGAATATATGTACACTTGGTCACTTTTGCATTAAAAGTTTTTCACTTTTAGCAGAATTAGAGCTCTACTGCATTCTTACTGCTGCCTCGTCATCTTGCTGCTAACCAAGTGTGACACTGGTCCATTCAACGACTAACCAGGTGTGACACTGGTCCATTCAACGACTAACCAGGTGTGACACTGGTCCATTCAACGACTAACCAGCTGTGACACTGGTCCATTCAACGACTAACCAGCTGTGACACTGGTCCATTCAACGACTAACCAGTTGGTACTCTGGTCCGTACAACGACTAACCAGGTGTGACACTGGTCCGTACAGCATTGTGACAGCATTATTGATTCCTCCAGATTATTGTTTACCCATCAGGATATCTAGCAGTTCACATGACTGAAAACTATCCAAAGTAAGCAAACGTGATTTTCAGAAATCTATATCCGGAAAATGATTTTGTATTTGTTCCACTAAACCACAAAGTAATGCTATACTACTATTCTAGGAATTACAGCTCTGTAAAGCTCCATGCCTTGACAGCCCAAACCACCTGTTCTCTGACTGGACAGTTAAATTTTTGATTGACAGGACTTTGGCCAATCAGCTGAGAGGAAGAAAAATCTGGTCAAAATTTGTGTTTGTAAAATGACATTTACAGGAAGAGATTTATACAAATATTTGGGTTTCATGTCTGTAAATAGACCTTCACAAAAACGATTTGTAACTTGTGTAATTGTTTTTACAAATATAATTTTTTTACACATACAAATTCCCATCTTCACATGCACAAATCACAAATTTATTTTACCAAGTTACACAACTAATTTATAAGTAAACACTATTTATGACCAGAATTTGTGTCCATATCCAGGTTGCTAAACATTTTCAAGTTTTGAACTCTTGCCTCTCTGTCTTCCATCAGCATTGAACATGTAAAACTTCAATGCAGAAGCAATTACATTAAACTCTGTTGTTACAACATGAGGCGTTTGGTATTTAAACCTTAGGCATCTTGTCACCTAAAGGCCTCCACAGAGAAATAGATATTTGCTCCTTTTCATAAATGTGTTTGTTTCCACATTTTATTTATTATGTGTTGATTCCTGACACTGGTTATTAAACTTAACTGTTCCTGTCTATCATGCACCTTTGTTAACCTTTGTGCACACAATTTTGTTCCACCTCATGTACCGCATGAGGTGCATTCATTCATCCTTTATTTAGATAGGTTAGTTCCCATGAGCCTCGGGGACTCATTTAAAAGAGAGACCTGATTTCAACAAAGAATGATGACAACAACGGACAACAGCGACAAATGATGATGTGCAAATGACAATAAAGTAACCTTGACCTTGACCTTGAGAAAATCAGTGCCATTTTAGTCTGTAGTCCCCACTTGAAACTTTTTGTCAGACTTTGAGTTAAAACGATTCTTTTAGATCATGTTTTGTACTTTATAAAAGCTGACAGTTTTGTTTTTTGGCTCATTTTTATATCAAAACTGGAAACTGCGTAAAGTAAACACTTCCCAAAACATTACTGACACAAACCATCTACTTATTTTTCGGTCCAGTTTATACGGTTATGTTTCTCCTGCTGAGGGTAACCAAGAATATGAGAAGAAGGACACAAAAAGATAATAACTCCCCCTGGACAGGACTCCATCACAGAGCCACTTAGACCAGTGGTTCTCTACTGGCCTGGCTTTAGCACCCACCATCACCCTCTTATGACAAATCACAACTCAAGTCGAGGAAATTTTTCAACTTCTCAGTTTAATAAAATCAAGGACAGTGCCGTTTGAACCTGATGTAGTAACATAAAGTAACAATATTCCAACATAAAAAACATATAAACCAGATTATACAGTAAGGATTGTTGCCCGAGAGAGAAATATTCCATTTAATGATCATTCTATTAAAACCAAATGCTTCACTTTAGTCATTTCAGTCTTTTTGAACAGACCCTCTGCTTTCATTAGCAAACATAAAATTTAAATGTTTGACTATTAAGAAATAGTTTTCAAAATTATTCCTAATATAAAACTAAAGCTTAGTGTGCACCTCCTGTATACATAACGACCAATGTCCTATTCAAAACGTTCTGTCACTTTTTCAAACAGATTGACTGACATATAAAAATCAGAACGTTGATTTTTTTTTTCTTATGTTGTTTGTGACCCCGTCAAAACTTCTGCACCACCAGTAACAGGTCCATGACCCAAAAGTGGACTGAGACCCACCAGTTGAGAATCACTGACATAGACAAATACTCGCAAATTTACACTGAGACCAAAAGATGCTAATTAACCTTTAATTTATTTTTCCTTTAAGCCAAACAAGAAACCTTATTATTTTATTATTAATCTTTATTTAACCAGGCAAATCCCATTGAGATCACAGATCTCTTTTGTAAGGGAGGCCTGGGCCTGGAGGCAGCCTGACATGCATGTTTTGGTGGAAGAAACCAGAGTACCCAGCGAAAACCCACACACGCACAAGAAGAACATGCAAACTCCACCCAGAAAGACCCCAGGTCCAACCCGGGATTGAACCCAGGACCTTCTTGCTGTGAGGCAACAGCGCTAACCACTGAGCCGTCGTGCTACCATAAGCACAAACACACATTATTTAATGTAGGATAAATAATCATTATCATTTTTCTTTTCTGTTATAGTTAACTGACTCCATTCTTTCCGTAAACATGCAAACCTGTGCTGATTTGTAAAAATCGTGGAGGTAAAAATCCAAAATGTGTGAGATTCTGACTGAAATTAGACGTGCTGCTGCTGAAACATCAGCTGAAATAGAAGGACATTTAGCTGAGCCATAAAGCTCGAGTCTCTTTAGCCGTGCTTTTGTTTGTATATCGCGCTATTCATTGCTGTTATTTGTATTATTAAAATTGTACAAGGTAAACATTTTATCAAAAAGTCACAACCGCAGATAGTTACAGTAAAACAACTTAAAATACCTCAAATTAAATCTCTTCATTCTTTCCACCAGCCCACTCTAAAATTATTTGCAGAGATATTTTTCTAAGTGAAAATCAATTTAGTGAAAACACATTTATGAATCACTCTGGGATATTTTTGGTCATTCATTCCTTCATTCAACCTTTATTTATACAGGTTTGTCTCACTCCGTCACGAGGACTCATTAACATGAGAGACCTGTCATAATTCTATTGCATAACTTGTGATAATTAATTACACAATAACTTTCTGTCCTCGGGTGTTGCATGCGGTTCTGCTGCATCTTGTAATTGCTTTTTTAATTTACTAATTTTATTTCCCAACAGATATAACATGAGCTCAAAATGTGGCGCATCTCCTAATATATCATGTGTTGAATATCCTTTCTTTGACTGTTAAGGTTATTGATACATTTGATACGGGGGTCGATCATCTATCTTTCTCCACCTTCACCTTCTTTTCCATCTCTTCGTCCTCCTTTCACCTTTGCCTAAGCATAAATTTCATCCCCACGCTTTTAAGTTTATCACCGTTCTGTGATTTATTCAACCCTGCGCACCCATCCCCACAACATTGATGTTTTTATTCTTCTTTGTAATATTCATTGTTGTAACTCCTTGTCTCCACAGGAGTACTGTGGCTTTGCATCGTGGCAGAGTGTCTGTACATCCTCCTGCTGGCCACAGGAGGCATCCTCATGTCGTTAGAAGTGTGTCACTTCGGCAACGTCATTGATGGCTTAAAGCTCAACGCCTTCGCTGCCATATTCACTGTACTTTCAGGTGAGAGGCTTTCGCCAGCTGAAAACAGCTGCTGTCGCTTTCCAAGCTGCCACTTTTTATGAATCGCTGTCTGTTCTGTGTGTACGGCTTGTAAACCTGAACTCAGAGCTGTGCACATTGTATCATATCCCACTTCCACTAAACAGCCACTAGCCAAAAGGATGGCCCAGCACAGAAGAGCAACATCATCAGGCCAGGACTCTGTGGTCTACACTCATCTCCAGGCCAGCGGTCACTCTTTCAGTGATTATATAAATATATGTATATGTATATATATACATGTATATATAAAATTCCCATCCGGACACAACCTGACCTCTGATCCCCCACAGTCTCTGTAAAACAGTGACTGACTTTGCACACCTGCAGTACAAAGCTCACTAGTTAAAATCTTGGATCTCGTTGTCTTTATGCATTCACGAAACCTAGTTTGAGTCAAAGTTGAGTGTGTATTTTTTTTATAGGTGGCCCTTCACAGAGTGGAGGATGTAAATGACACGCAATCATTAAAATCAAGTTTTTAGAAATGTACATCTGGTCTATCTTACGTAAAGTGGTTATTTTATGTGAAGAGGCAACAAAATGTACTCAAAACACATTTTTCCCTTTATTTGTATTTTTTTGCATCTTAGATTTTCAACATTGCAATAGTTACATTTCTAACTGCTGAATAATGTAGAGACTGAAGACAGGAGAAGCAACAGGCATACAAAGATGTTCTGACACATATCGTAATTCAAATAGCGCTCGGTGCAAGAACAGTGAAAAATTACTGAAGTGTTACCCTTTCTTAGGAAACCACAAACAAAAATAAGTAGGCTTTTAATATTTATTGGCCTTCATTTATAATTTCAAAGTTAAAATTGGAGGCTAAATGTTGTACAGGCTGCTTGGTGATGTAAATGAAAAGTGTATAAAGGCACTTACTTCATGTAGAATGTTTTTGGCAATTTAGAGATTTAACAAATGCAACAAATTAGGAAATTACTGATCACGTGTACCCTAAGAAAACTAACATTGGTAATAAAAGTATATGCATTAGCATTGTAACAATATGCCTAAGTCATGTTTCAGTATGTAAGTCAGGTTTATAGTTACTGTTCAGCTCAGACACATTGTAAGAGAATAAAAAACAAATACTAAATACTAGACATACTGGTAACTCCACTATAATATAAAAATAATAATAATTATAGTACATTGTACTATCTAAAGTCCCTCTCTGGTTTTTTTTTTTTTTACATTTTTTACAAACTGAAACATGACTTAGG